TTTTCAATTTACCATAATTTTTTTGTATTTATAATTGCAACTTCATTTCCAAAAGGATTAGCAAGTATAAGCAATGGAGAATATTTTTCTTGTTTTTGACATTGGAAAATTAAAATTCATAGTAGCTGTTGTAGTGTGGAGCAAAAAGAAAAAGAAAAAAGTCTTTTCTTAAAAAGAGAAAAGCTGAAAGCTTGGAGCTTATCTTTCTAGGACACATTACAATACCAAATAAGTATAAATGTCATTTATATATATATATATATATATATATATATATATATATATTATAGCTTTTGTTGGGTAATTATTCTTGAAAAAATTTGGTTAAAGAAGATCTATATCTGTCAATGCAGAAACATTTTACATTTTTACATTTTTAGCTTCAAGTTGTAAATGTTCCTTTTTATTGGGGGGGATAGGAATAATAAACCCCAGCTGAGAGCAATACATGGGGGGGGCATGATTGTAAACAGATTTTCAATATTTAAATATAGCAGTATAGTTGCTTTAATAATAAAATACTAAAAAAAAAAAAAAACAAACAGTTTTTTTGAAGGTCAGTCAAGTAACGCGGTGTTATCTTGTAGGGGAGATAATTCACTTTCTCGGCAGAAATGTACAAATGTCAAAATTATTAAAGGGACTATTTAAAATAAAAAAAAACAAAAAGAAAAAAAAACACTGCAATAATCAGTTGAAATTCATTTAAAATTTTGAGGAATCAAAGACAATCACAGACATATCACTTAATTGGAGACAAGTTCCAATTTTGCATTCAATTTGATGTTTATACAAATGAAAAAATTCTTTAAAAATGACAAATCAGCATTTACTTTCCACAAAGGGGAGAAAAATAGTGAAATTTGAAACTATTTTCTGATCTCCTTGTTAATATTGGAAAGACAATCAAATAAGAAAAAGAATAAAAAAATATGGACCACAGAGCAGAAACTTAGGTTCTTCAAAAATAAAATTGTATGACATCTCCAAAAGATTTAACTCTGAATTTTAAAAAAAGTAAATATTTTAAAGAATCGTCATTTATGAATAAAAAGGAGAACAATTTTCTTAAAGTTTCAGTTTTCTCCAGAAATTAATGTTTTATTTCTCTATAAATTAAAAAAAAAAAAAAAAAATCTTATTTACCAATATTTCGAGTTATACTTCTGATATTCACCTCCATGAACCAAGCAGTTTTGTTTTTGTACAAGTCAGTTTCAGCAAATGATTAGATAAGGAAACATTCATATGCATTTTCCATAAAAAACAGTTAGTTGCTCATAACATCATCATTATAATCAGAATATCAGGATTCAGCAATGTGAAATGTTGGGGAGAAAAAAATTCTGATCAAACTTTTTTGAGCTGTTAACATAGAACTTGAATACAAATTCGCAAAAAAAAATCCACATTTCTTTACTAAGAGACTTTTTTTCAATCATATCACACTTAACAGAAAACTGGATCAAGCAATGGAAATTTATAAAATAAAGTAGCAATGTGATTAAAATTCACCCCTTTTATCATCTAAAGGTAAAAAGAATCTTTTCCTCTCTCTCTCTCTTATGATATGAACAAGAAAAGTTAGATTATCAGAATTAAAATAAATCGTTGCTATCAACAAAGTGAGTAATATACAATTATTTAAGTAACGAAAATCTTGGTAATCCATATGGATAATCCCAAGGAGGATGAAATCCTGAGAACTCAATGTTAAGTCAGAGCAAATAATTTAATTTAAAGAAAAACAGACTACTTTAAGGTAAATTGAGCTTTAAAGTGGTCTGTTTTTCTTTAAATTATATATATATATATATATATATATATATATACACACACAAACACACACACATACATACATACACTTGTGCAAATTAATTGAAACAACCACTTTAGTTTCCTTTCTTTCACCACACAGTCAGTTTTAGACCCACTGGAGTGACAAGGTCTAATAGATTTTTAGTTTTCTTCAGATTAGTTTATTTGCAGTGGTGTACAGTAACATGAATCTATTTTCAGGCTGTATGATAAAATTTGTTTGGCCTTGAAAAATATTGCATCATCTGTGATTGCATCAAATTTTCATTATACCCAGACACTATTGTCTCGACTGTTGATTAGTTATCCTACGGCCATTGTGTGCAATGGACATTACTCCAAGGAAGCATATGAAAATTGTAGCGCTACATGAACACACTGGCAAATTTTACCAGGGAGCAAATCAAAGTACTAAATACTGACCCAGAAACTCTCCTGATTTTAATCCAATCAAAAATCTGTGGTCAATCTGCAAGGAACAACTTTGTGGAATGGACATATGAAGTACTAACATGTGCACTGGATCATGTTACATGCAAAAAAATACAAAAAAAAAAAAAATAATAGCAGAATTATTTCATTTTGTTTGCACAAGGGTGTGTGTGTGTGTGTGTGTGTGTATATATATATATATATATATATATATATATATATATGGGAGAGGCATTTTCTAAACAAAAAATGTGTTTAGGTAAAATTCTTCAATCAAGAATAAATGCTGCTGTAAGGACAGAAAACTGACATCTTAGTTGTGTATTATTCCAAGAGTTTAAAAAATAAAATAAAAAGGTTTGATAAAAGAAAGTTATCTTTGGAAAGGTAGAAAGATGCCAAAATTCAAACTCAAGTCAAGACAAATCCTTTTAAACCAAGAAATTCTGATGCACATAAAGTTTTTCCAAGATTTTTTCCAGTAAAAATTCAATTCTGTTTAAACCAGAACTTGCTAAGAATCTGAAAATCTTTCCAAACAGTGAAAATATTCAGACAGAATACAAACATGATTTTGATCATTAAATTCTGACTACAAATGTTGAATTGAATTCAAGGATTGATAAAACTTTAAAAGCAGTTTTCTCTACTATTTAGAGAATGTTATTCAGAATTTTATTGTCTAAATCAATTGTAAATATAGTCAATAATAGAGAATTTTAATCTTTCTATTATTAAACAAGAAATTCGAGCTTTCTATCAACAAAAAAAAAATAAATAAATACTGCAATTTTAGAGATAAAATGAAATATGTGGAGAAAAAACTTTTTTCAAAGAATTATACCAAAAAAAATTAAAAAATAATCAAGTGTAAATTTTTTTTTCTTTAAGTTAAAGGAAAAAATGTGATTGGCCAAAAGCAGATCCTGCAAACCATATTACTCCTATTATCAATTTGCAACTAGTATTTCTAACTACTCAACCAATCATACTAAGGCAATGAATAAAAAGCGTGGCTAAGATTTGTTGGGCAAGCTTCTCAAAGTAACAAAAAAAAAAAAAGAAAAAAAGTTGGCTTCTCATCTGGAGACATTTTTCCCCCTACAATCTGTACCATTTACCAACAATCTGAATTGTTGAAGTAAAAGAAATATTTATTAAAGTTTAACAACATCTCATTCACTTAATGAAATCAAAATAATGATGCTGATAATGATGATGCTTACACATTTTTCCATCTGAAAACATACCATCAGCACCTTTTTAATGGTGTGTGATTTTAAATCTTGTTTAATTTTTGGAGGCAATATTAATAATTAAAAATTCACCCAAATTGTTTCATAAAATAATCTATTGGATGCTTTAGTACACATCATCAGTGATGATTCTAGCGAAGGTTCATTAGGGGTTTTAGATCTTTCAACATCATACACCCTCTCCACAGAGACCCAGCCAATGCTGATCGGGTATCGACTTGTGTACCTTCTGTCAGCTACAAGTTTTTCCATCTTCCGAAATGCACATCATACAACTCTTCTTGGCAATGTTTTTAATTTTTATGTGAAAATTAAAACTGGTCTCTTAACTAATAGGGAAGAATTTGCAATAAGTAGCTTAAAAATCATTTTGATTCAGGAATTCCAATAGAAAGTTTCTGGAATGAACACAATTGTATCATTAAAAAATTGCTATCCAAGTGTGTATATTCATGGAGTGGGGGAGGGGTATCTTCATTCTTTAAGAATTTCCAAAGTCTGCAGAAAATATTAAAGGCAATAAATTCTGATTTACTCAAGTAATTCTTAGTAAAAAATAATTCTCATATAAGCCATGTCGGCTTGAAAATCTTGTACATGATTGTATAACAACCATGTAAGCTTTATGATTTCCCTCAACTTTCTGGCTACAGTATTTCAATCAACCTCTTCTCCAAAGATCATCAGGTGACACAATTTAATAATTTTAAACTTTTCAAATGATAAGTAAAATGATAGGTTGTAAAGTTTAATACACCTAATCAGAGAGATTTGGAAATATGTCTGTTGAATCATTGTCTATAAGAGATGAAGATATTAGTCAAGTGAAGCTCAAATGTTGCTAATGGCATGAATTGAAAGTCTGCTTCGTCCAAAAGATTTAATGATTTTTTTTTTTGTTCAAAGTAAAATAGAATCTTGTTGGTTTGGAAAGATTCTTTTCTATTACAAGAAATATGTTTCTGAAAAAGATTTTCAATTTTCGATTCGATTTTTGAAGCTGAAAAAATTTGTACAAAAGGAAATTAATTTTCCAGTTTCCAAAGTTAGTTGACTCATCAGAAAATTTTCAAGTAGAAATAAAAGCAATAAAACTGACACAGACATTTCTCTACTGAAAGTAGAAATCAAAAATAAAATATAGGCTACAATTTGGCACAAAATACATAAATTCTGATTAAAAAGCAAACAGAATTTTAGCCCAACCGAGAGTCAAAATTTGCAACAGTGATGGAGAGGAAGCAATTAAATCTAATCTTAACAATCGGTCACAAAAGAATATTTACTTTTATTTATTAAGAGCAAATTATCTTTGGACATTGTAATGTCAGAATCATTCCTCGGTTCAATTTCTGTTGCTATTGACTTCAATGTTTTGGTTGATTGTTTTTCTTTGCATTATGGTTGAGTTTTGTTTTACTTGAAAATAATTCATAAAAATTTCAATTTCATTTTCCATACAGAAATTAAGCAGTAACCATGGCAGTAGAGAAGTTAGCAATTTTTATAGAAATAAAAAGGAATGGAATTTGTTGATTGGAAAGAAAAGAAAAGAGAAGAAAGAGAAAGAGAAAAGAAAAGAGAAAGAGACGGAGAAAAAGAAAAGAAGAGAAAAGAAGAGAAAAGAAAAGAAGAGAAAAGAAAAGAAGAGAAGAGAAGAGAAAAAAAAAGAGAAGAGAAGAGAAGAGAAAAAAAAAGAGAAGAGAAAAAAGAGAAGAGAAGAGAAAAAGAAAAAAAAAAAAAAAAAGAATGGAAAAAACTATCATGAATCTCATAAAATGTGAAGAAATATTTTGCTTAAATGTTTTTTGTTTGTTAAAAAACAAAATTGAAAAACTGTTCATTATTTCTTTCTAGATTTTAGGGTTTGATTTTGTTGTCTTTTTTGAGTGCTTAAAAGTAAATCTTGGTTGCGGAAACAACAAAAATTACATTTGTATGAATAGTGGACAATGGTTATCATCTATTCGTGAGATGTTTCAAAGATTTTTCAACTTTGGTTTAAATGATTGTGCCTCCAATAAATTTTGTGAATTGTTTTATCAAAATCTGTACCCCCTATATTTTTTTTTTTTTTTTTTTTTTAAATGCAGGGTGGGGACAGTCAAAATTAATTTACCTAAAAATGTGATATGTTAATTAAAAAATGACAGACATACACAAATTAGTACCATTTCAGTTGGTGCAGGTACAGTGGCTAGTCAAATCAAAGGTAACTATTATTTACCAAGTTTGGCATAAGGCCACATATATGGTGCACCTGGAGAGAAACATTCAATTACATAAAGGAGGATTTCCATTTTTCTCCACTTGTGAACCTGGAGATTTCGACTATACTTTTTCAGTTTTCTTAATTTTTTTTTTTTATAAATGCAAAATGAGAAATAATGTATTTCCCATGTAGCTATCTATGTGACAGAAAATCTTCATGAATAAGAGAATCTGTTATAAAAAGTAAAAAATAAAAATATTACTTAAAATATAAAAAATAAAAGGGGAAAAAATATTACATAAAAATTATTCAAAATGTCAGTCATACAAATTTGGGTTTAATATTTGCCCCTTTTTTTTGTCTTCATTCTCTTTTCATGGATTCTCCTGTCGAGAATTGAAACCAAGAAGAGCTTTTTTTATATATCACAAACAGCAATACCAGACAAAAATACAAAATTTAGACAATTATACACAAGGTGGCAATCACATAAAATTACCAAAACAACAACCATGATGATAAGTGAGTTTTTGTTGTTGTTAATAGACCAAGAGATGAAGCAAAGTTGTGCAGGTTGGTGTTGAAAGGGACTCCCAGGGTCAGACATTTGATGGCGATTTTATATCAGTTGGCGTGTCTGGACAATTCAAGACCACAACTTCATAGGGTGAACATTCAGGCAGTGTCACTTTATTGCACAGCCAACCATAAAATCCTTTTTCATAGTCTCTGAATTCTCGAAGCCAGTTATGAAAGAACCAAGAAATTTGAATGACTGATGCGTAAACGCCAATTGTGAAAGCTGAAAACCCAACAGTGAAAGGAAATGTTAAAATTAAAAAGGGACATATGGAGATTTTATGCCAGATTGTCTTCTCTTCAGAGAAATAAAGATAAAAATTGTACCATGTGTTGCAGCCAATGTAGAATGAATATGCTGTGGAAAAGATGAAAGCAGCAGGCACACAAATGACACCCAGTAGTACCACGTGCAGTCCAGAACGCAGACCCCAAGTGCAACGGCGTGCTTTTTGACGCTTGGCATCATCGTCTTTGAATTTCCTCTCAAGAGTGAGTTTACGCAGTTCTTCTTGTGTCAGTTCCAGTTGAACTTCAACCACGTGTCCAGCTTGATAGCCTCGAGTAACCGTACCAGTCATGGTCACCAATTGCTGTCCAGTACCGTTATGCAGTTTGTCTTCTGGGGAGGATTCTGGCAACTCAATCCATTCTTTTTCTTCGATTTCATCAAAATCAGTGGATTTGTGCAAAGTTCTCTGCTCAGTTGCCATTTTGCTGGAGTGGCAGGAATTGAAAGGTGGCAGCAACAGCAGCAAAGAGAACCCAAAATGCAATAAGACTGGAGAGATTTAACTGTCAGAGAATTCCTTCTGGCCGAAATAGAAAGCAGAGCACATCTACCTGGCAAGAAAATGGAGAAAGAAAAGAAAGTAATTGATTTCAAAGAGAAACCTCAAGAACAAAGCAGTAAAATTTAAAAATCAAAATTTGGTAAAAAGACTCAATTAAGGCACTCCCTTCCACTTGCTTAACAGAAACATTTTGTAAACTTTTTCTTTTTTTTTAACCCAAGAATAGTTTTTGGAAGTTAACATTTGTCAGTTTTGCGTGTATTTTAAAGTGAAGGTGCATATTTAATATATAAACAAAGATAGAAGAATACAAAAAACTTGAACTTCTGCTACAGATGTGTATTCCTTTTATGTTGACTGCATTGAAACAAAGTTAAATGTCTCTTGTGTATGTCTATTTTCCTTTTTGTTTCAGAAATTATTTATGGGAAGTAAAGATACAAACAGGTAAAGATGATCAAGCTCAAGTCAGTCACACACTGAGTTAGGATGAGCAAACATCTACTTCATGAGTAGGGCTGCTAAAACCGAATGAGGTCATTGGAAAATGGAAATGAGTTCAGTCATCAGTGGACTGGGGATCCCCAAAATCCCCAGTGTGAACGTAATTACCATGTGGTCCACATCTTGAAGCAAAAAGGAAAAATAGAAAGATTCTGTCCTTTCTGGAATAGGGGTCATAAAATCACACATGTAACCAGAAACCCTTTCTGGTTTCTTTATAAGTTGCATTATGGGAAAATGAACTTACTTATTTTTCTTTATTCATTATTATTTTATTTATTGGTTTTATTTCATTTTCTCACAAGTTAAACAAAACAAACCTTTTTGTCTATGCCTAAAACAGCCTCAAATGGGTTCAATAAACATTCCCCTTCTCTGGCTCAAAATACTTTGCTTTCATAGCTTTTGTTGCGAGGAATTGGAAGTTATTGATTTTATTCAAAATCATGCTACCTGTGATGGCTGTCGGGGAGGCAGTAATCCAACACTTCTTACCAAGTTTTAATATACATTTCAATGGTTTTGATTCAGACTCTAGCACCAAAATCAAAGTGAAAGTTTGATGCCTTTCTCAAGATGAAAAAAATTTAAAAAAGGCAAGAAATACAAAAAAAAATTAAGATTCCACCAACAAGGAAAAAAATTTCCAACCTCTTCCTTTGTTATTGTCACAGATGTTAAATCCTTTTGCTAGACACACATGTATCAAGAACTCCCTTTTCAGCTTTTGGGGATGTGTAAAAAGAAAAATTGGGAGTATGCATGCTGTGAAACTGAAGAAGCAAGTTCTCTTTCACTTTGGCTGAGATCATGATAGGACACCAAAAGTAGCACTACATACAGTAGCCACACATTGCTTAGACTCCAGCAGAATAAATTTGTCTTTTACTTCATTCATAACAAACTTTTAAGAACATTCCTTGAAATTTCCTCTACACAAAAAAATTTTCCGACTAGAATAAATATTTCTATCTAGTTTTCGTTTCACTCTCGTTTGTCTATTTTCTCAACCAACACTGTTTTTGTTCAACACATGACACTGTCTCAACTTCAAACAAAGACCTTTAACCCTGTAGCAACATTATGAACAAAATTATCTACAACCTGATGCAAATGAGCAGGCAGGTTATAAAAATCCAACATAACAGGAATTAAAATCAAAATGAAAGAATCCAGAGTCATCTTTGATGTAAAGTTTTGATTCATGCACCAATCTGCTTACTATTGAACACTTAAGTCCCAAGCTGGAAATTTCATTTAAATTCTTTTTTTATTTTTTGTTTCCATCATCTTTGTTATTAAATATCCCACATTGTGATAATAGATCTGCCAAAAATGGTGAAACATAAGAACCTGAATGCAAATTTACTGTGGATGAACTAGCAAGTAAAGCACTTTCTAAACTTTTTCGTGTTAGTGAATCATTTTCACTTTTAATTGGAGTAGCACTTTTTATGTCAAAATTGTAGTCAGTTTCATTACAATGAGTAACTAACGTGTTTAATGTGATCTCTTTTAGAATGTCTCTTTTGTGTTCATATCATCTTTTATTTAAACTTTCTCCAATATATTCTTTCTGGCAATCCTTGCAGTGATAGAGTAAATTCCTCCTTCAAGTTTTGTTTTGTATTGATTATGTCTTTTATTTGTTTTAGATGTAGTTGAAACAAATTATATGTTGAGTTTAGATAAATATTTTTCAAGTGTAGTTGTGATAGAGTCAGTGGGAAGAACAATATATTTTTTTAATTTTTTTGTTAGGTTTGTCAGGAGTGGCTGCTTTTCTATTTTGGAATATTTTACGAGCCTTTTGTTTTGCATTGAATATGAAATAGTTAGAATATTGGAGGAGCTTGAAAATATTTTCAATATATTTCTCTTCTTTGTGTAAATATTAAGGGCTGCTAATTATGAGTGCTCTTAAGTAGAATCCAATAATCATTCTGGATTTTATTTTGTTTTGATAGAAATAGAAATTTATTAGGTCATTTTTATTAGTTGATTTTCGGAGGACAAAAAGTTTTAATCTGCTGTCAATATGGTGTAACATGATATTAAGGAAACGTAAAGTATTTTCTTCCATTTCATACATAAATTCTATTGTATGTTTGACTTTGTTTAGTTTATGTATAAGTTCAGGTAAATCAGTACAACAGGTATATATTAATAAAGCATCCGCAATATATCAGAAGTATGCTGATTGTTTAGGTAAAATATTTTGGAAAGGACCAAATTTGAAAAATTCTAAGATACCTGCCATCAATCCATTAAGAGATGATTCCCACTGGTAATCCAAATTTTTGTTTATAAAAATTGTTATTAAATGTGAAATAGCATTGATTGGTGATGAGACGGTAGATTTTTATTATTTTAGCTATTGGTAGGGAGAGGTTTATCTTTGATCATGTTAGATGGTTTTTCAGTAGATTTAGGCATTTTTCAACCAGGATGGTAGTGTAAAGTGATTTTATATCTAGACTAGTCATCAGTTTGTCAGCCTTATTTGTTCCCCTTAATTTTTCAAATAGGTTGCCTGAATTTTTTATGTGATGGACTAATTGTTCCAAGAAGAGAGGTTAAAATATTTGTTATGGCTTTAGTCAGTTTGTGGAGAGCGCCTGAAATAATCAGGCACACTGGGATGCCTGTTTTGTGGGGTTTTGGGAGACAGTAGCAAAGTAACAATCTTAAGCATTTAGCATTCAACACAGTCAAACATGCCCCTTAAATATCAGCTCTCAATATTCAACCTGCCCCATTTATACTCTACCATAATATATGATGATATCATTGCAAATAACAAAGGAAGTCACACAGTGAGACTTTGAGGGCCAATGTTTAGAGGGAAGGTTTGAATGTTGAATGCTAAAGGGTTAAAACCAATTTCATTATCAAGAACAAAGAAAAAAACTTTGGATTTTTTTTTTTTAAGTTTTAAACATTTTTTTTTTTTTTTTTTTTTTTTACAGTTAATATTGTTTAAGAATATTTGTCATGTACAAATGGGAATATCAGTTATTAGACATTTTATTAACTAATATGAGCATAAATGTTATTCTGCCCCCGAAAATAGCAAGGTAACCTGCAAGATAGGATGATAGTTGTATGTCCAACATTGCAAGTTGGTCTCTGCTTGGCCCAATACTTGTTAAGAAAAATAGTCTTTAAAAACCCCCATTAAACTTTACAGTTTAATTTAGGTATGTTGATTCTTTTATCTTAGCTAACAGCCTAGATGAAACAAAAAAACAAAAACATAAAACCTGCTTTGAAAATAATGTTTCTATATCTTACAAATTTATTTAAAAAACCCTATTTTCTTTGATGTATGTGTTAACTACCTGTGCCTTATAGCTTTAAGATTTTTGTGGCTTTAATTACAAAAGTAATTATTCAGAGAAGATAATTATTAAAAATCTAATCAATAGAGCTTTTGTTTTCATCCACCATTTTATAAAAATTCAATATTAAATATTTATAAATAAAAGATTTCTTAATTTTGTTTTAATAAACGTGACTAAATCTAGTTTGAAAAAAAAATTATAGAATTTCAATGATTGAAATACAAATCAACCTGTCTTATTGCAATGAAATACACCAGAATTATAAACAATGTGAAACAGCCATTAAGAACTTTAATGCTGTATTTTGTTTCTTATAAGACACGCCAATGCATTGGTCACACCCCCTAAAAAAACACAATTTTGAAGGACGAAATTATGAAAAAAGTTTGTTTTTTTTTCCTTGTATTTCATATCCCTTCCCACTATCACCAATTTTACCTACTGAATAGCTTATTTCAGCATGAATACCTGACCAATCATGACAAAGTAATCACAGATTGAAAAGTAGTACCAAATTTATGATAACTATTTAGTCTGAATTGGTGAAACAAGGTTGTTGGTAACCAACTCATTGTTGCAGGCACAAGTGAGGACATCGGAATGCATATTAATGCATTGTTGATGACCAGGGAATTAAGAAAAGCCAAACTTGTGTAGCACTGGCTGCTCAGTTAATGAATGTCGAAGGTTTCCTTATAAGGAAGCAGCTACCATATTTCACTGCTTATAAGACACTCTGATGCATTAGACATCCCCACCCACAATTGTGTAGGATGAAATTGTGAAAAAAGTTTTTTTTCCTTGTACTTCATATTGTGACAGAGAGAGAGTCTGGGAAATACATGCACACACACACACACACATATATATTTTAGTGAAATTGGAGTAGATCTGAAAAGCAAAATTAAATCAGAGCATTTTGTTTACTGATGGGGAAATCTGATCTAGGGCAGAAGTTGTACCCATTGAATCTGGGTCATCAGTAGACAATGGAAATGGTTGAAATAATTTTTATCAATTAAAAATTGAAATAGAGCTGAGTAAGCTAGAAGAAACTTTGGAATTAACATGATTTTGGTTAAAAGAGGCCAGAATCCCCATGATAATCGCATGCGAAGTAGTAAGGCCAAGGGTCAATTATAACCAGCCGGGTTTATCTATATAAACGCGTAGTTATGCTGAAAAATTCAGACTGGAGAAAATTCTTGAAGAGAAAAGAGAGAATTGGCCAGGGCAAGCGTTGGGAGGAGGAACACCACTATGACTAAGCCCTGCACAGAAATCTTTATCCCTCCATCACAAGAGTCATATAACATTCTGAGATGATTTAACAACAAGTTAATCACATACCCTGTCTGTCTAGAATCCTCTTTACGTCAATTACTTTTCTTTTCTGTAACCCATTTCTTTTCTCTACTATTCTTTTCTGCTATATAAAAGACATTAACAATTCAACCATTGAATAGTTGTTCTTTCTGCAGATATTAATTTTGTTTTTTTTGCTGCATTCTAAAATTCTTAGCGCAGACTCCCCAGCTGTGTCTACATCTTCAGTTGACCGTGAATGGACGGAAGCAGGATTAAATCAGCAGACAGGTCGAATAATCTACGGATGCTCAGGGGACCTATGGCCACTCCCTTAAGTTTGGTTAGGACCGAGTAGACACCTCAACCCAGAGAGTAAGACATTGGAGGTTGAGAGGCTGGAGCGAAAGTGTTAGACTGGGGTGCCGTGGTAGACCAGGATAGACCCATAGGAATTGCTATGGCCATCTGAAAGAGGAGAGAAGGTTGCATTTGTTTTGTCCAATCGGGACTGAGTAAGACCAGAAAGGACTCTAGTCTTCAGACTATAAGGAGGAAAAGAGAAGGAAGCAAAAGAAGGAGGAAAAAGAAACAAAACACAGAGTGGCTGACCTCAGGTAAGTCACTTTTTGGTTTCCTTTGTTCGCTCCTTGCACTTAGATCTGCCAGTAATATTGTTGATCTTGTTTTGATTTTGTCGACTTTGTACGCAGTTGAAGCACCACCACTGTGTTAAGTATTTTTCCTTTCGTTCTGTCATTGGTCTCTCTTCTCGTGGGAAAGTGGTAGTTGATAATGGATGAGCATAGCAAGATCAGACGTCACAGATGACCTTGGGGACGTGGGAGTCCCCGAAATATCAATGGGTTTCAGGAGGCTGATAGGTAGCATGAAGCTACCTACTTATAAAGGAAACCCTGTGGACCTGCATGAATGGATTCTATCCATTCAGAAGAAGCAGGTGATCTATGGCCTCTTGAACCAAGGAATGGTGCTCCTAGCTTACGACACTGCAGCGGGGCAGGTGTCCAAGTTCATAGGGGAGGGGCACAAAGAAAACCTGGCCCTGACGTGGATCGAGCTTTAATCTGCTCTGGTGCGGCAATACACAAGTGAGCATACGGCCATTGAGGTAGTCAGGAAATTATTCCAGCTACAGCAACAAGAAGGAGAGACTAATGAGGAATTGGGGGAAAGAATCGCAGGGCTAGCAGAGTTAGCTTTTCTGGGGTTGGCGACTCAGGACAGTGGTCCCATTCCGGCCTTGTTGGCCGATGTGTATGTGGACGTGCTGAGTGACAGAGCCCTGAGGGGTGATATTCTGAAGGGGGACCAGTCAGCCTGGCCGCAGCCATAGAGGCAGCTCGGACCAGCGAATGACTCTAGGATAGAATAAGAGGGGGTGTAGGTAGGAACCCCCGTGGGGCCAAAGTAGTCATGAAAAAGAAGGACCGCATCCAGATATGGGACCCAAAAGAGGAGGTGAAAGAGGACTGGAAGGCTGAGGCAGTTCCCAATAGGAGAGTCTAGGATCTGCGTCATGGGTTTCACAAGCCCACACCAGGTCGATATGGGCTGGCGTGCTGGACTTGCAAGTATGGTGGGCATCAGGCCCATGACTGCCCGACAAACTATGGAGGCGACCCAAGGTCTTTGGGGCCAGACTGCATGACTTGTGACGAGTTCAGGCACAAGGCTCGGTGGTGTACGGCAGAGGGAGACTGTAAACTGGGGATAAAGCGAGTTAATACACTGGTGCCCCCTACCAAGAAGGAAAAGGGTCCAGGAAATGCTGATGGGTCACCCGTAAAAAAGTAAGAGGCAGGGTGGCCCCAGTGCAAGTAAGACCTCTGAGATGCTGGACATGTAGTGTGGTCAAGCACTTTTCAGCCAGTTGTAAGGAGCGAAGGTGCTGGTGGTGTGGAGGAGCGGGTCACCTGAGACGGACCTGTTCTCGCAGGAGAAAGATGGACCACACTGAACGGAACAACCCTAACTCGAATGGAGGGGAGAAATGGGTTGCTAGTCCGAGAAAAGAGAGTCATCTGAGCTCTACCCCACCAAGGAGGGCCCTTAGGCAGAAATTGGAGCCCCTCGAAAAAGGTGAACTTCTGTCACCGACTCCCACATCTCTGTTGTCAAGAAAACGGGAGGAAGGGAGAGAACATACGGGAAGGAGAAAGGCACAGGTATGCCGTTTGCTGAAAGAAGGGCCAGACTTCACCTTTAATGTGTTGCTGGGAGACAAGAAGGTGAAGGCCCTTGTCGATACTGGAGCTTCAGTGTCACTGGTTAGCTCCAAGGTTTTTAGACAGTTGGGACTGAAAACAAAGCTTAGTCCTGTCAATCTACTAATAAGTCAGGCTAATAGTAGCAGGATGAGGATAGAGGGTATGACGTGGCTACCTTTCCAGTTGGCAAGAACCAGAGGTAAACTTAAGGTTTATGTGGCGAGCTAATTTTGGGGATTGACTGGCTTAGGCATAAGGCACAAATCTGTTTTGACCCCGCCACCCTAACATTGGAGGGGGTAGGGATACTGTTGAGGGAGGATAATAGGGAAAATTGGGATTTATTCGTAACCCAAGCGTTAGCAGCTGTGAGATTCTCGATGAACGAGACGACAAAATTTTCCCCTTATTACTTGATATATGGCAGGGATGTAGTCTTACCTATAGACAATCTGTTATGACCTAGGAGGAAGTATTTAGGAGAGGATCATCAGCAAATAGTTTTAGAACAACAGCATAAAATTTTTACACAGGTGAGGAGGAAGATTCAAAGATCCCAGAAAAGGCGAAACGATAGGGTAAATAAAAATAGAGAAGTTTCCTTCCAGATAGGTGATCCAGTGTATTATAAAATACACCTGAGAGAAGGTAAATTGAAACAGAGATGGAGTCCATATTATAGGATCGTGGAGCAGATGGGTCTGGTTTCCTTTGTGATCTGGGACCAATTAACTGGACAGGTAAAGAGAGTGTATGCGAATGATATAAAGTTGTTGTGGAGTTATTTCGCAGTGGAGGCTTGTATTTGTACTAAATCGGTCCTAAAATAGGTTCGACGTACAAAACGTTAGGAACTTGATATAATAGGTATTACGCAGAGTAATCTTGTTGTGGTCGCTGACTACTTTCGTATTCAACTGTCATCCGACATCGACTGACTATTACTACTCCTACTTATATTAGGTGGGAGAGTCTGTTAACTATAGAATAGGTGTGTTTCACCATAACAAAAGCTTAACTGAAATAGGAGAATGGAAAGGAGCTGATGCTGGGTGGTTTTTTCAAGATATTGTATCAATAAAAAGAAATGCATCCTATAGACAATAAAATATGGTACAAAAGCACACATCTACATTTATAATCATATGTAGTTACATGGGTGTGAGAAAATAAGGCACAGAGAAAACTTTTCATCAAAAATAAAGAAATAATGCTTCACAACGTCAGCAAAATATTCAATATGATAACATGATATAAATAAGGATTTAATTTTATTTCATCTGAATATGAAAAAAACTACCAAATACAGAAGAATGTACACAAAAAGACATCATCTATGTGCGTTTATGTGAAAATAAGTTTTTATTCTTAAATAATTCATTATGGAGTTGAATTCGAATTCAAAAATAGGATTTTATTTTTTCATAGACTTATCAGTTACATAATACATGTCTATACAAAATAAACTTACAACACCCTGAAGACAATACAGATTCTTACCTGTGTGCCATACATGCATTTTTGGAGGATAGAAATCAAATTTTCAAAGTCTTCAGCCATCTTGTGATATAACAACACTTGTACTACTGTAGTATCTGTGTTCAAGATTTATATGAAACCCTTTCTATAACATGGTTGCATATGGTGAATGAGCCTAGGACAACCAGTGATGCTCACAGGTTTGAGAAGGCAAGGATTCAAACTTTGGGACTCCAAGTGGACGAATAGTCATTTTGAAGAATTGCTGTGTCAGCAGTACTTCAATATTGGCAATAGTGGGCAAATTGATCAGATGGCCACAAACTACAGGCATTCACCAAGATTGAGAGGCATTGTAAGGACAGCATATTATCCACAGCATATATTAGAGCAAATTTGGCCTCAAGAGTGTTAACATAGGTTGTTGAGAACTTTTTTTTTTAGCAAGACTAAGAGCATGTGCCAACACAAGCACACCTCTAGCCAGACTTTCACTGATGCTACATCACTAGTGATGTTGCAAGTGTGTCATCTGAGAGATCAAATGGTAAGAGGTCAGTATTAGCATGTTCTACCCTCATGCAAGTGATAATCATTTGCATTTTTTACATAGCTCATGGAGAGCAACATCTTGCAGGGTGTCCACAACAGGTGCAACCAACCTCTGGCATGGTATGGGAGTTACCATAAGTTATGACTTTTACATTATCTTTCGGGAGTGGAGGAGTAAACATTGAACATGATTCAATCTATTTTGTTGCTATTCCTGCACAAGAGAACATGCTGTGCCAACCAGATAATTCCCACCAACATGATGCCTGGGCTACTCAGCAAATTCTATGGTTGGCATGATCCCCAGACCTGTGCCCTATTGAACATGTATCAGATGATGCCCGACTTTCAATCAGCCCGGACCTGTGCCCAATTGAAAATGTATCAGACAATGCAGACTCTTTCAATTAGACTACCTAATTCTCTTGCAGTTTTGCATCAACAAATACAAGAGGTGTCGAATAATGTATCACAAGATGGTATTCAGCATCTGTATAATATAAAAGTATAGGCTTATGCTAAGCCCCAATGATGATGTACAGTGTATTACTATAGGATCTTAATACTACTGAAACCCACACTTATTTTGAAACCATTTTCCATCTATTGATCTGGTCATTTCCTAAAAGCCGGCTGTATTACCTGTATGCTTAATTTTTGGTAAATTGAAAGAAACATACAAGAGGCTTCAGTTCTATTTTCCATCAGAGGAAAGGTGGGGGACAAATGATACCTTTTTATGCTGAAGTTATCTGAAAGTATTAAGAAGAGTCAGAAGAAATAAGTAGGTCAGGTCCAAGTTTTTGAGTAAACCTGGCAGGTGAGTTTTTACAGTGGCTTTAACAATATTCTTTTGTAATAATCAAGCAAATCTTCCCAAGTCTGGCTTGGTTTTTCTTTTCACACACACACACACTTTCTACATAAGAAAGAAGAATTTTTACAAAAGCAAATCAAATGTCTGTTAATTTAATGTTTCCAAGTCAGACACTTTTCACAACTTCCAAATATCTTCCACCTTAACTCTTCAAATTTTAAAAAAATACATCACAATTCACAATACAAAGCAACAAATCCACAAAGCAAGGTTACTTGGTGTTGCCTCAATTAGGATAATTTTTGAGAACATTTTGTTGCTTAGTTTTTTTGCCCTCTGCATTTAACAATCAGTTGGTAAAGTATAGAACACAAACAAAAAGTATATTGGGAGGGGGGCTGTTTTGGTTGAAGCATCATAAAAGTACAAGACGAGATCCATTCATTTCCTTAATCTGCTCACTTGGTATAAAAAATGTCAACAGTAAAATGACTTCTTTTTAGAAAGAAAATTAAACTTAAAATGAATAATAAAATTTTTATTATTCACTTTTTACTCAATTGTTTTGGCCGATCCATTCTACAGCCTTCTTCAAGTGCAGAATTTTTTAAGGAAAGAAGGAGATTGTAACAAAAAGAAACATTTCTTTACAAATCATGAACCCGAAGAAGGCCATAGAACAGAATAGCCAAATTATGGAAACATCATCAACAACAATGTTAACATTAACTGTGACATATTTTCGTCATTCTCTGTTGATCCATAGAAGTACAACAGCAGAAATTTCCATCATCTACAGTTAACAGATTAAAGATTTTACAAAGCTGGAGTTGTTTCTTGAGGAATCTTTTTTCTCAAACCTAATAGGACATCTTCACATATGCAAATCAGTCCACCCCAACAAAATCACAGATTAATTCTTTTCATGATTAAGGATCCCATACCACCACCAAAAATACTTTCAATATCAAAGATTCATCAAACTTCTGAAAAGAATATAATAAGTTGATAGAAATTATTTTACACTGATGAGCCAAAAGTCATGGAATAACAATATATAAAATTATATATATATATATATAAACACCACAATATATTGACATCATAGAAATGCCTAGTCTTATATCACTATGCCAAGTCAATATGAACACTGACTAGGCTGCTCATGACAAAGGAACATTAATTATCAGAATTTAAATAGGACATAGGTCCTTAATAATTGTGACCAAAAGCAATATGGCTACAATTGTATGCAAAAATAAAATCATCCTTGATAATGGCGAAAAGCACTTGGAATTACAGAACATGTTTTGAACAATAAAAAATACTAAAAAATTAAAATTTTCAGATACACTGGGTTGTATATTAATGTTTTTTGGTTTTATTATTTCAATTAGGTTCCTCAACTAGTTTCAGCCACCATGGCCATCATCAGGAGAAAAAAAATTCTTGTGTTAGTAGCAGTGACTACAGGAGTGAATGACTGTTCCTGAAGAAAGTGAAATTTATCTGTAGTTTTCATTTGTTTTTTTATCGTTAATTTTGTTCAGTCCTTATGTTGGCCAAACAGTCTCTTTCAAGTCTCTTTTTTAAGATCGAGGATGGAAGATTCCTAACTTTAAGAATACTCTCCTTGGTCATTTTGACAGTTTTATTGGTTGCTGGGATTGGGATGTGTGTGTTAAATGTATGTTATCTTTTAGTAAGTTTGAGACCTCAACACCTTTGCAAGCATGTCTGTCTTGTGTGGGTGAGAAATGTGGGTAGGGCTATATATATATATATATATATATATATATATATATATATATATATATATATATATATATATATATGTCAAGAACAGTAATAGGGAAATTGTATAAAAGTGGAAAAAGTTTATTTGTTGAATACCTACTTACAAAAGTTTTGTAAATAGATATTCCAAAATAAATTTTCTAAGTAGATATTCCACAAATAAACACAA